GACTTGGCCTTGGCCTTTGCCTTTGGCTCTGGTGCCGGAGTGGCAGCAGCCTCATGCTTGAAAGGACAATTCTCCCTTGAGCACGAACCAGTGTTCTTGAATGAGTAGCATATCCGATTTCCTCCTCCGGATGGACTTGGAGTTCTTGATCTCGGAGTGATTGGTCTTTCTGGAGTCTTCTTGGAATGACTGAATGGGCACTTGTCACCATTCCGACACCCAGCATCTGTGAAATGGAATTTGCAGCGGATGTGCTTCTTGCTCTTGTCACCCTTGTTGTCCGCTGATTCACTTCTTGTCTTCTTCTTCGGCTTCGGCTTGACCTTCGCATGGCTCTTCGCCTTGCTCTGAGGCAGGACGGGAGCTGCGTTGTCGGGCTTGGTAGGAGCCACCTTTACCTTGGGAGAAGGTACTCCCTTGGGTGGTGTCTTGTCAGGTACCTTGGCCGGTGCAGCGAGCATGTCCTTGCCCTCCAACATTTGGCGCAAACCGATTTGTGTCTGAGTGAGATTTGCTTGTTCACGTCTCCGCATGATGGTTCGCTCAATGATCTTGATGAGGTTGTCATACGATCGATCCTCGTGGTTGTAAGGTAGATGTTCATAATGCATACCCAACTCCATTTTCATTGCGGGTGAATCCTTGATCTTGCTGTACAAGCAATCTCGAAGCGCTGTCTTGGATGGTACGTCCTCCGGCCTCATCCGTCCAAGGACTTCCAACCATGTCTGTTTGAACGTGTGAAGCTTGTTGTCACCCTGGTACTGGAGCTTCACCAAGTAGTTAAGACCTGACTAGGAGATCGTATTTCAGGGGATCGTACCTCACCTCCTACGGAAAACGAAGGCACTACTTCCTTTCCTACATGTTCCCAGCCAGTCGACTCAGTAGTTCTTGAAGACATGGGCACACTCGGAGGTCGAACTGATCCAGCATTCAAGTTGGAACTTCGTGCCGCCTCCAGTTCGCTGCGCGTCCTTGATTGAAGATCTTCCTGTGTTCTGAGCGCTCTCCTGAGTTCGTTCAGTTCGTCATGCAAGGCTGGCAATGCCTGCCTCGCGTGATCTTCGTTCTGTTGAAGCTGATCTTCTGCATCTTGCATCCTCTTCACTGCCATGTTGCGAAACTCTTCTTCTTCACCAAATCGTTCGCGAAGCCGATGACGTTCTTGATCGATCGCTGCACTGTTTCCAGCCAATCCTTGAACTTCGTTCATGACTCGCAACTCCTGGTTCCTGGCGAGAAGGAATCGCTCCTGCATAGCATGCATGGCTTGTTCAGAACTCGCCGTGCTTGATCGGAGGAACAAGTTCTCCCTGGCTTGCTCGTGAAGTTCCTGTGTCAGATGCTCATACTCACGCGCCATAAGTTCTCCGTCGCCTTGAGCTCGGGTTTCCAACTGCACGAAGTTCGCAGCTGTTTCTGTTCGAACCACGTGAAGCTGCTGAGCGAGTTCCTCGGCAACTGCGTGTCCTCGACGCTGTTGAGCAGAGTTCTGTTCATCCATTCGGAACAACGCTGCTTCATAGTCACGCTTCATCTCCTGTTTGACATTGTTGATGTGTCGCATGGCCAAGCATGCTTGATCACGTTGTCGTTCCAATTCTTCAATGCGAAGTCCAGATCCCTCATCTTCTTGCTACATCTCCTTGATCTTCTCCATCAGGGTTTGCACGACACCTTCGTACTCCTGCACTTGGCTCCGATAGTACATCTGTTGTGCAAGACTCGAAGCTTCGAGTTGTTGTCGCATCTCCTGATAGACGTTCGGACCATCGGCTATAGCCGGGGTAGCAGCCGATGAAGCATCACCTTGCACCGGTATGGTATCAAGGGTCATGTCTGCATCGTCAGCTTCATGGGGATGATTGGTGACCATCTTCCTCCATGTCATGGATCTGTCCCGTCCTCTGGTAGTCGATGTCCTAGATCGTGCTGAAGAGCTTCTCGAAGACGCTGGTTTCGACTTCTTCTCCAATGTTATCACTCCTCTGTCCTTTGTCCTCGACGGAGTCCTTGGCACCTGAAAACCAGATGTTTCGGATCGTCGTTCTGTAGCTTTGCCAGTCCTTGATCCTGAGGATGTTGGACGTGATGGCGTAGATGCTCTTGGTGAATTCTTCGCTTTTGCTTTGGGAACTGCCTTTGCGATGGCGAGCGCTGAAGATTGACCTTTGTCATCTTCCGTGGAGCTATCAACGGATTGCACCACTGTGTCATCAGCAGTCGAGTCACCGACCGCCGGCGCTGCCACGTCGGCACCGAAAGAAGTTGTCGTATCTTGACTTGATCCCGAGTTCATTGTGGAAGTGGTAGATCAAGTAGTCCTTGTTGTAGATAGGCAGAGCCGCGTACGGCTGATAACCTGCGTGGGGATTTGATCTTGATGATGCCCTTGTCGCTCACCCCACAGAGCTATGTTGAATATTGGCGTGGTTGCCCTCTACGAACACCGCCACTCTCTCTTTCCCTTTCCCACACGTAAGCCTTACTTCCCGTGCAGGCAGATCCAGAGCTCGCTTGTTTTGCACCCTCGCGGCCAGCGCCAAACTATCTAAACTATTTAAACGGGCCCTCCGCCCGGCCCTCCAGGACTCACCCAAACCATCCAAACTATCTAAACCCTCCCGGTTTAAATGGTTTAGACAGTTTGGGCCCTCCACCCGGTCCTCCAAACTATCCAAACTATCCAAAGCCCCCTGGTTTAGACAGTTTGGATAGTTTGGGCCTTCCGCTCGACCCCCCAAGCTATCCAAACTCGCCGGGTTAGATAATTAAAACAGTTTCGGCCCCCAAACTATTTAAACTATCTAAACCGGCTTGCCGGACTCCACCAAACTATCTAAACTGTCTAAGCTATTTAAATACTATCTAAACCCAAGAAACCCTAAACCCTCTGATGCTGAAACTTAATGCTATATTTTGTATTAACAGTAGCACAAACTACTACTCACTACAAACCCCAAACCCTACCCCGAAACCTGTCAACCGCACGCTCCGGGCGCGCGCGCGCGCGCGCCCCTAACCCCTATCCGAATGGAGGTTGAGAGATCTCCGAACTTTTCTCTTGATGCAAAACAGGCCTTCATCGAACAAGTCATGATCTGATGCCGTAGTGCCTGAGCAGAGAAGTGTGTTCGCACTCCCCCTGCGCACCAGAGTGCGCACTTCAAAGAGCTCAGATGATCAGCAGAAAAATTGTCCTTCTTAAAAGATTTCAGACGCTTGAAGCGTCCGTGGCTCAAGGCCCTTGTGTCTTGGTTCTTCTCGGACATATGCATCGCTCAAGACTTGGAGTTCTCATCGCCTCCGGTAGCTCTTGTAGAGATCTCAAACTCAGTACGGCCAATCCAGGACTCCTTCAAGTAGCGGGCAGGAAGGGGGCGAAGGTCGGTGAAGCTGACCTGTAAAACCCTAAAGTCCAACCGAGCGCTCCAGTTCCTTGAAGAGATCGATCCGTTTTGCGGGTCTTCAGATTCCAACTGCACAGCGAACTTGCAAGAACATCATCGAGCTCGTCACGGTCAATCCGATGCTCAGAACTCAACAAAGCTTCGGCTCGAGCTTCGCTTTCCTCAATTGAGAGTTTGGGCGGCGCCTTCAGTCCGCACGAGCTGCAACTGAGAGTTGCACCACACATTTTGATTGATGTTTCACAGACATAACATTTAGCTTCTTCAGACCACATGTTAAAGATCCGTGTCTCAGTCTCTCCCTCACACCTCTCACTCTCTTCGTTCTCACTCTCTTCTCTCTCTCTCTCTGGGCACCTGATCTGCCGGGCGTTCAGAAGTCGAGTGACGAGCATCGTGAGCATCTTCAAGACCACTTCCGCTTTGGGACTCTGACTCCCCCCCCGTGTCAACCAAGACGCGGGCCGCAACAGGACGTTTTCCAACGATACGACGACGAGGAGGTGACACTGGTTCGCCTTCCTCAGCCTCGAAGTCAGGAGGCTCCCTGACGCCCTCGTACACGACCGGAGCCACATGAAACCTGCAGTTGGTTTGGCCCGGAAGGGGCGGAAGCCGAACTACAGTACATCCAGAAATGTTTGCAGCAGGGCACAGGACTTCTCCGCGGATGGCCCGTGGGGCGTAAGGGGTTTTCCGTGACCAATTTCGGCTTTGTACAACAACACTAGCACCAAAAGGAGGAAGCCTACATTTGGGTCCTGGACCTTTCAACGTGTGCATGCTATTCCAATACCGTTGTGCAGTGTACTGTCGCAAAGCAGAAGGCCAATGCTCCCGCCCAATCCCCGGTTGTGCTCTCAGAAGAGCTCGGACTCCCGCCTTCACCTGACCCACCGTGCCTTCGATTCTCCCGTTTGCCTTCGGATCGGACGGCGGACTATACGTAGGATGAATATCGCGCGAGGCACACCAACCCCGGAAGCCGGCATTAGCAAACTCCCGTCCCCCGTCTGAGTGCACCCGTCGGACAGCAAGATTAAGAAGTGAGATCCGCGCATGGATACGTTGCACTGCCCTCATCTTCCACTCCTTCTTCTCTCACATTCTCTCCCTCCTCCTTTCTTTCTTTTTCATCCTCTGCGGCTTGGAGCACTTGAGGCTTTCCGTCCTTGTAGACAAGGACGCCGAGCGTAGCAACAAGTATGAACCTCGCTGGCTTGGTTAGCGCATGATCCTGTCCAGCAACCCAAGGACCACTCAAATCAAGATTTAGGCATAACGCGTTGGCGTGAGCATGGCGTTGCCTGAGATGTCTAGGTCCCCTCATGGCTGCTTCCAAGCATACCCGACAATCCCGCCTGAACACCACATGATCCGTCTCGCAATGCCTTCGGAATTCCTCTTCCTCACGCGTCAAGGCTTGCAATGCAACTCGCTCCTCCCCTTCTACTTCACGCCTTTCCATATCCGAAGTTCCTATCCACTCCCGAATGGCCCTAGACACCCGATGAGTCAACCCCGGAGCCCATCGGCTCCGTTTTGGGACCCCGTAGTCCCTCACAGGAATGCCTCCACCCTGTCCTGTCACAACGTGAACAGTTTCCAAGAGTTCGTGAGGATCCCAGTGGGCTGCCGTCTCTCATGTCCAAGTGGTCCCTGATCAAACTCAGCTAGGAAGAACCCGGACTGTGGTGGACTACGAACAGGACGAGAAAGATCAGGCGGATATTGCGGACTCCCCCCTACCAGAAGGTTGCTGAACTCCGGCCACGCCCAAACCGACGGGACCTCATCCTTTCGACAACTCTCCGAAGCATACTTCAATGGATCCTGCGATTGCTCCAGAACCAAAAGACTCCCATCATCCCTGGACTCATCTGCCAAGTGATGCAGTACCATGGTGCGGAAGAGGAGCACGGACTCATCTTCAACTACCTTCTGCTCTTCTGGGCTGTTGGACGCCAATCCAAACCTAGTACCATCCGTCCTACCGCGAAGCGGCCTGGACCCTCCCTCTCTCTCTTTCACCTCCCTCGCACAGCGGTACGTGCTACTTGGGGGGCTAGCCACTACTGCCGCAACTCTCCCGGACGCACACAGAGTGGCTAACCAAGAAAACGTACTCTCATCCAGGAGGTCCCTGCCCTTGAGGACATCTACATTGAGCACCGTGGCACGATGACCAAAAGAGCTCACCGCTTCTACAGAGGTCTTTCCAGAGAATAGATGCAGCACTATGTGTCGCGACATAGCCAAGGTTTTGCGCCCTCTCCGGTTGAGATTCATGAAAACACTTGCACCTTCAGGAGGCACATCACATCGCGAAGGAACTGATCTGGATACGAGCCACTCGGGCCCGTTTGGTGCAAACCCTCTTAGCCACGTCATGAGCTTCTTCTCTGAACCCCATGCCGATTGCACATCCTCACTCTCCACCCCGGTCTGAAGAGCCCTTAACTGAAGTGCTTGCTGCAATTCGTTGTTCCGATGCTGCTCCAGTTCCTGGATCAAGCGTAGGCATAACTCCTCTGGAACAACAGGGCAAGCATCCACCAAAGTAGATGGGAGCACTCCGATAGTGGGGTGAGTAATGATGCAGCTGTTCTGGCTCCAGTTGACCCGACAGCCAAGTTTTTCAATCAGAAGGCCGAGAGGGCAGATAGGGGAAATCTGCTCGGGAGACAATATGGTGTTCAGGGTGATATCCTAAGCTGTTGAGCGCCTACGGCTAACGAAACCCGCACAGGAACCGCTAACTCCCATTCACCCGGCAGGGCGCTTCTCAGAGGATGTGTGGCCCCACCGTCCAACAGGCCAGTGGGTGCTCTAATTCTACGTGCTATCACCTGGGGTACCACAATCGCTCCATCAGTTGCGCTCTCCTCTCTACCCTCATCTCTCACCATAGTGCCCTCATCCCTCATAGGAACTTCCGGACAATCATCCCTCTGATCGCTCTCTTCCTTTTCTTGGACTGTGAGTGCCACAAGACGAAGCGATCTAAGCAGATTCTGAGCTTCCTGAAGAACTTGCGCCTGCGCATCGGCTACCCCACTCCCAGACTGAACCGAAGCAGCCTTGGCTGAAGGGCCACCCACAGTGGAGCTACCCTTAGTGGCATTCTGGCTTTCGGCCTGAGTCTTGGCGGCCGTCACGGACGCACTCTCATTCAATGTTGCTGGATTCGAAGAACCAGTTCCCGGATGTTGCCCAGGGTTTTGCACCGAACCTAACCCCGAATTTTGCGCTACACCCGAATTTTGCGCTACACTATTCCCGGACTCCCCAAAAGGCTTGCCTTTACCCTTGCCCCTTGCCCTTAGGCCGAGTGCACTCAGACTGCCGATGTTGATCCGAACCGCAATTGTAGCACCTAGATTGCTTCGTAGAACTCGAAAAGTCATGCCAATCCCTGCACTCCACCCTTCGCACAGCCCTTGGAGGTGAGGTAAAACCGACACGGATTGCGAAAGGAAGCACCCCTACCGCCAGTCTCCGCCGAGGCGTCTGGAGTTTTTCCTTCCCCTCTTTCCCCTTACTCCCCTTGCCTTCTGCCCCACCCCCTTTGTTGTCAGGTCTGTCACCCTTTTCATTTCCCTTTTGTTGAGCTCCCGCACCATTGTCAAGCTTGTTGAGCTTTGGGGCGTGAGCGGACTCAGCTCCCGATACGGCCACCTGCTCCCACTCACTCTGCAAAATGCGCATGAACTCCACTGCCGAAGCCATCGTAGGATTGTGATCCAGTCGAAGAAGATTGCGGGCCGTGGAAATGCGGAATGCCACTTGAGCGTGCACTGGCTTCCGAAGGAGCTGCTCCCCTAGAGTATCGACTCCACGAAGGATGAGTGCCGGGTCAGGCACCACCACTGACATGGTGCGCGCGCGGGCGTAACACCGACTCCAGGTCCTAAGTGCTTGCACCGCGTCTCCCGCGGTCTTAGCCGTGCCCAAATGCGTTAGCTCCCCAAGGACCTGTGCCCGCTCCTGAAGCCCTCCTGGACCGTAAAGCTTCAGAACTTGAAACAGCAAGCCCACACAGTGCAACGACCGCGAGGCCAAAAGCTCATCTCTTATGACAGCTGGCACCGCCGCCTGAAGCATACCATAAGCCCGGCTTTCAAGCCGACGGAATCTCACGTGAGAGAGCTCTAGACTCACCTGCGAAATGATGGACCCCTTTTCGATGGCGGTAGCCTGGAACCAACGATCATATAACCCTTGAGCCTCCCACTCGACGCGCTGCCACCAAACCTGTGAAGGGTCCGACAGGTCGTAAAGAAGAGGCCTGATTTGGGCCAACCAATCAGCAGCACGAGTAGCTGCAGAGGGGAGATCCGGATCTCCCAGCGTTGGCAAGGTGCAAAAGGATCCCGGCCCCCCACACGGCCACCCAAATCTGTCCAGTCCAGCCCCTTCCAAGGATCCCCATTATCCTCAGATGAGTAGCCTCCCACACTCCCCGATGTCCCCAATCCCATGGGCAAGGCGGTTGCCTGTCCAGGATAACACCCTGAAGCTGCACCTTGAAACCCCACTAGCCTTAGCTGCGCTCGGAAGCAATGGGTTCCCACCGAACATACTCCTTCCAGCTCCATTTCCTATCCCGGTAGTCGATCCAAGCCTCATAGACTCTTCGCTGAAACCTGTCTCCCTCGAAGCTTGAGGTGGTGGGGGTCTAAGCTGAAACCAGGGCGTGGGAGGAGGTGGCGGAGCACGAGAGCGTACTTCACGAGCATAACTAATGCTACCGATGTGGAGCTCTGGCGCTCCCGGAGGAATTGGGGTTCCATGAGGAGTCGAGTTCAATCTTTGGACCCGCTCGGCCGAGAGAGGTGGAGGTTCTGGACTTCTCTGAAGATCCCGCACTGAAGGAGGTGACATCGCAAGATCCCAACCCTTGTCAGTCTCCAGAGCCTCCTTAGCGGCATTGTACCCCAGCTCAAACGCCCTTTGGTACGCCACAGACGAGCCTTCTAAGGACCCGGCATTGAGCGCAGAGTCAAGTGCTGATGTTGGGCGCTCAGTGGAAGGATTAGGAGGGATAAACCTACCTAGCTCACTCTCACCCCAACCCTGAACTTGATTGCCCTCTTCACCTAACTCTATGGTAGCCTCAATCCCGTCCGTTACTCCACCTGATGCAACAGATCTCCAAGCGTCTTGACTTCCCACCTTGTCGTCCTCCAGCTTCTCCAGCCGCAGACGAAGAGCTTCATTCTGGGACATCAGCTCCACATTCTGTTGCACAACACTCTCAAGGATCTGCTTCATCTCCCGAAGGACCTGTCTCTCTCCTAGCGTCAGACCCGGGGGCTGACTAGCAGGAGTCTCTGATCGCGCTGTTTCAGACACCGTGGTTCGAACTGCACCTGTCGGCTCGATCGCCGTCTCTTCAGGCCTCCGCAGTTCCGTTGATGGTGTTGACGGTTCAGGTTGATTATCACTCGACATCCGGAGTTGGACTTCTTCCCGAGCCCTTTGTGACCAGAATGGATTAACAGTAGGACTTGCAGATTCGGCACCCGTCGCCCCGCTTCCAGTGGTCATCTCAGCAGCATTTTCCAGAGCCGGCACCTGCGTGCCCTGAGCCCCGGTATCTACCTCTCTCCCACTTGGTTCCGACGACGTAGCAACCGCATCTTCAGGATCCCGTGTTTTACCGTCACCAACCCCTTTTCCGGATCTCTTGCGCATTGCTAGAGAATCCATTTAACAGCGGATCCGAACTTTTCTCGTGATGCAAAAAAGGCCTTCATCGAACAAGTCATGATCTGATGCCGTAGTGCCTGAGCAGAGAAGTGTGTTCGCACCCTAAACCCCGTAAAAATGTAAAACCTTAAAATTTAAACCCTGCAAGCCATAAACCCAGCAAAACTGAAACTAACTCTGACTCTACTAAGGGCGTCGCGGAAACATCCACCATGTAACACCGGGCGTCGCGAAACCACCCATGCTGTAACACCGGGCGTCGTGCAACTATTCACCTAGTTTAGATAGTTTGGATAGATTGGTGGAGTACCGGAGGGCCGGACGGAGGGTTCGGTTTAGACAGTTTATATAGTTTGGGCTCTCCGCCCGGCCCCCCAAACCCGCTAAACCATTCAAACTATCTAAACCTCCCAGGTTTAGAGGGTTTAGCCGGTTTAGCTGGTTTGCGCTCTCTGCCCGGCCCCCAAACCCGCTAAACCGGCTAAACCCGCTAAACCGGCTAAACTATCTAAACCTCCCTGGTTTAGAGGGTTTAGCCGGTTTAGCGGATTTAGCTGGTTTGGGCTCTCCGCCCGGCCCCCAAACCCGCTAAACCGGCTAAACTATCTAAACCTTTCTGGTTTAGAGGGTTTAGAGCTAAACCGGCTAAACTTGCCAAACCGGCTAAACTATCTAAACCTCCCTGGTTTAGAGGGTTTCGAGGGTTTAGCCGGTTTAGCGGGTTTAGCTGGTTTGGGCTCTCCGCCCGGCCCCCCAAACCCGCTAAACCGGCTAAACCCTCTAAACTATCCAAACCCACCTGGTTTAAATGGTTTAAACGGCTTAGCTGGTATAGCTGGTTTGGACTCCCCGCCCGGCCCCCAAACCGTCTAAACTATCTAAAACGGCCTGCCCCGGACTAGCCCAAACCAGCTAAACCACCTAAACCATCTAAACCCACCTGGTTTAGATGGTTTAGACGGTTTAGCTGGTTTGGGATCCCCGCCCGGCCCCCCAAACCATCTAAACTATCTAAACCGGCCTGCCCGGACTAGCCCAAACCAGCTAAACCACCTAAACCATCTACACCCACCTGGTCTAGATGGTTTAGACGGTTTGGCTGGTTTGGGCTCCCCGCCGGGCCCCCAAACCATCTAAACTATCTAAACCGACCTGCCCGGACTAGCCCAAACCAGCTAAACCATCTACACCCACCTGGTCTAGATGGTTTGACGGTTTAGCTGGTTTAGCTGGTGTGGGATCCCCGCCCGGCCCCCCAAACCATCTAAACTATCTAAACCGGCCTGCCCGGACTAGCCCAAACCAGCTAAACCACCTAAACCACCTAAACCATCTACACCCACCTGGTCTAGATGGTTTAGACGGTTTAGCTGGTTTGGGCTCCCCGCCGGGCCCCCAAACCATCTAAACTATCTAAACCGGCCTGCCCGGACTAGCCCAAACCAGCTAAACCACCTAAACCATCTACACCCACCTGGTCTAGATGGTTTGACGGTTTAGCTGGTTTAGCTGGTGTGGGATCCCCGCCCGGCCCCCCAAACCATCTAAACTATCTAAACCGGCCTGCCCGGACTAGCCCAAACCAGCTGAACCACCTAAACCACCTAAACCATCTACACCCACCTGGTCTAGATGGTTTAGACGGTTTAGCTGGTTTGGGCTCCCCGCCGGGCCCCCAAACCATCTAAACTATCTAAACCGGCCTGCCCGGACTAGCCCAAACCAGCTAAACCAGCTAAACCATCTACACCCACCTGGTCTAGATGGTTTGACGGTTTAGCTGGTTTAGCTGGTGTGGGATCCCCGCCCGCCCCCCAAACCATCTAAACTATCTAAACCGACCTGCCCGGACAAGCCCAAACCAGCTAAACCAGCTAAACCCACCTGGTTTAGATGGTTTAGACGGTTTGGCTGGTTTGGGCTCCCCGCCCGGCCCCCCAAATCATCTAAACTATCTAAGCCGGCCTGCCCGGACTAGCCCAAACCAGCTAAACCAGCTAAACCATCTAAACCCACCTGGTTTAGATGGTTTAGACGGTTTGGCTGCCACACGGGCGGCGTGAGCTGCTGTCCAGGACTTGCAGACGGGCTCGGCTGGTTTAGCTGGCTTGGGCTCGCCGCCCGGCAGCCCAAACCATCTAAACTATCTAAACCGGCCTGCCCGGACAAACTATCTAAACTATGTAAACCTTCCTCCAGCGGACCCAGAGCAACACATTATACAGAAAGGTTGCTCTTACACACACACATATATATATATATGTATGTATGTATATATATATATATATATGTATCTGTGTGCGTGTGTTTGTATGTATGTATGCATGTATGCATCCGTGTATATGTGCATATACGTATGTGTATATGTCTACCTTTGCATAACACCCAAATAACGAATTATTCCTATTCGTGCTCAATCCTCTGATTCCATCACGGAGCTCTTCAGTGCTTCGATAGTCATGCTACATGTCAGTGACGAAGCAAGGAGGCAATCCAGTGAGCAGTACAGGCGGGCATGGTTCATCACCTAGTGCGTGTGGGATGGAAGCCATACAAGCCCCAGGATGCCAAATCGCGGTCGCAGAGTGAAAATCGCACTCTGCAGGAGCATCCGTGAGCTTACGAGCGCAGTCCCATTGTGGCAAAACTTAACCTGCTTTGCATACTGTACTCTTCTTTTGGACAAGGGCCCCGCCGTAACGGCCATGGCGAGGGCGATCGCAAGCGCATCGACAGCCGAGCCTCCGAACCTGGCCGTCCCAAGGGCCCCGTCGCAACATGTCCCGAGTCACAACCAATATGTGGACATAGGCTCCCACAGCAGGATGCGCCCAGCGATTCCTTCCGTGCAAGCGACAAATCTCTCACTTAAAACTTAAATCCTTTAAAGTTTGCGTTGTGATTCTGCGCTCTGCCGCTCCATGGCAGGCTCGACCGTTTAAACTTCAAACGGGCCTAGCGAAAGAGTGGCTGCAATTCCCAGAGCCACCAGGAGCTCCTGAAGTCACGGCCAAGGAAAGGCCTCAGACTCCCTGTTGCACAGAGGCTTATAGGGCTCCTTCCTGAGGACACGCCACAAGTCAGCAAATGTTGGAACCTGCTACGCGGTTTGCCACTTAGCGCTTGAGGAACACCCGCTCCGGGCTCTGTACCAACTCACCGGTTGCGAGCGCCTCAAAATTGCTCAAGAAATCATTGACACGCCAAAGTGCTGGGCTGCGCAGCGGCTGCACTGCTCCGCGCTGCCGGCCTGCAGAACCAGTGAGGCAGCCTGAAGCGGTGGAGTCGGCTGTGGCGCTGTCGGCCACCAGTGCACACGGCCTGTGAACCAGCGTTGCCGCCGCAGCCAACAAGGGCCGTCAAGTAAAATGCGATGATGAGGTGCCTGCAGCCACGATCTGGCGACCTTCTATCCTATCTACGTAGCTTCATCTATCTGACTGAACGGTACCGGGCTTCTGCAACAAAACATCGAAGAATTCCAAGATGGCTGACGAGACCTGTCACAGTATAGCCAAAAATCGTGTTCTTCAGGCTGCAGGCAGGAAGTCAGAAAGCGTGCCGACAGAAAGACAAGCAGCCCCAGTAGCCAGGGCCTTCAGACAAAGAGCCGTAAGAGGGACTTCACCAGGCACTGGCACAACCGTTCGGGATCAGGGCAGGCGGCCATACAACTCCGTCTGCACACTTTTGCCCACATACCTGAACGACTTCCGCCCCTCCCGAACTAGAATTGTCAAGTCACCACTGAGAGGATCGCGGCTCGGGCGCAGATGAGTACAAATCGCATTCTTCCTTCATTCTGAGATGCAGGAATGCAGGGTTATTCCAAATCAATTCAGAGCCTATCGCACGGAGCCTTGTTTCCAAGACCCAACAAGCAGTCGAGTGGTAGCTGCCGTGGAGCCTGGCAAAGCGAGGTAGCGCAGCGGCGAAGCCCAGGCCGAATCGACTGGACCGAAAAGGGCACTGCGTCTGGCACTTTGGCACCCGACTGGCCTCAAGAAGGTCTGCCAAGTTGATGCACGCAAGGCCTGGGTCCTGCCCATAGAATGCTCAAGACAAAAAAGCGAAGCCGCATACTTCCGCATGCCTGCGTGTCGTCGTTTTGGGCGACCTTCCAGACTTCGACACGCCGCAAATCTAGGCTTGATACAGATGCTGTGGATCTATGTCTCGCTTCTGCTTCTCAACAGCTTTCGCATTGAAATCATGTCGAGAATGCTCGTGGACCGCGGCATGAAAGCCCGCGTTTCGCGCGTTTGTAAAGTGCTTCCATAGATTTTCGAGGATAGGGACGCAGTCCCCCAGCGACCCCGCCTTCACAAAGAAGACGCCGTCGGGCGCGTCTCCGACACAAACCGCATTGGAGCCTCGGAGCGGACAGCACAGCATCGTAGCATGGCTGTTTCAACAATATTTTTTCTCGTATACTGCAGTGCATCGCTCACCGAACCGATCGAACCGGTCCGTACCGCAGAATATCGCAACATCCCACCACCAGCCACTCCACACACCACCATCAGCCACCAGTTCCAGCCCCAGCCATCAGCCACTCCAGTCACCAGCTGCAGCCACCAACCCTCCGCATCCCCAAACCAGAGGGGGATGGCAGCCAGCAGGCCAGCAGGTGGCTGAAAGCAGGTGGTTGGAGGTGGGGGGCTGGAGGCAGGAGGTTGGTGGCTGGAGGTAGGTGGCTGAAGGCAGATTGATAGGTCTGATGGGTATTCGGTATTGCGTATCGCACCGAACCGAACCGAAACTCCGCAATACATATACCGCTAAATATCGCGTACGTATCGGCATCGACCGCTCCACACGCGAAGCCGAGCCGAGCCGCGGAGAAGTATCCGAATGACCTCGTCGATCCTCATGTCTGGCCTCAGCCATGGCTGGAGTGTAGGCATCCCAAGTTGCACGAGTTCGGGCTGGGTCGAGTCGTGTCTGATCACTCGGCGAACCCATTATACAGCTTATTTGAGCTTATTGCCTCTAATTTCTGAGTTCATCCCATAAACAACATGAGGCAACAGCCGCAGAGTGATAGGGGAGCTAGATGGAGTCCTGCAAAGGATGCACCACAACACCACTGAACTTCGAAAGCAAATCGCTCCAAGGTTGTGGCATGACTGGCTGGCTGGTGACCCAACGATTTGGCGGAGGCACCTGGAACTACAAGTTTGAAGGAATGAACCTGCCCCCTTGGATTGAAACCAGCCTGCTTCATCTCGCCTGACTTGCTGGGTTTGCACGTCATTCGGCATCTGCGACATCGCCAGCCTAGCTACTTGGCTTCAAGCCGATGCACCTACAGCAGCCAGCACCGTTCCCAGCCAGGCCGAGTAGCCGGACAGTATCGTCGCTGTTGCTGTCAAGAATGCACTGGGCAAGTCTCGGTGGTAAACCACAAATGTATCCTCGCGAGTTGCTGCGACATCCTTGCCCCGATCGCAGGCGTCCTTGTAGCGATGTTGGGGTATTCGTCTACGCTGTGGACCTGCATCCAGCAAACCGACGAACGGACAGCATGCACGGCAGCCCAGCCTTCGAGAATGGGGGCTGGCCATGCCCAGCATGTCGTGGAGCACATGGGCACCATTGAACGCAGAACATGAAACTGTGCACGGGTTGCTGGCATGCAGGGGAATGCATGCGTGAAGCCGAAGACAGCTCTGCGTCTTTGCGGACTGTGCCTGTTTATCGATCTGGGCCGCAGCGACAGCTGAAGATGACACATGCCTTGCCTTGCAACAACCCACGTGGGCCGTCACCAACCGCTCGTGTCACTGAACTGAAAGCATCAGGCCGCATTTTTGCTCATCAAAGCTGGCTGCGCAGTAGTCAAGCAGAGCTGCGAATCCTGGCCCTGAGGGACCCCTTTCTGGAACGCGCGGGCCCCATGCCCGGAGATTGTGTGGAGAGCTTTGCCTGTTTTCTCGTTGAAACGCTTCATCGCTCCGATTGCGTGCCTGGCTCGCCGGTCGAACAGACACACTGGCGGCACTGGGGACTGTGTTGGGCTCCATGTGGCTGGACGACGGTTTTTGCTCTTCACATCGTGGGGACCCCGTGCTGGAGGCATTCCATGCAGGCCGCATCGCCCGCAAAACGATGCCCTTCTCCTGGACATGAAGGGGCTGGGAATGGGGAATGCGCACTCTGAGCACGAGCTGGCACCAAAAGGAAACAGGGAGAGGGATCGGGAGAAGGAGTGGGACGGACAAGCAATCGTCACTAAACACGTCCAATTTCTTCCATCTAGATGGTCTGCAAATTCGAGAAAGACAATGAACCCGATGAGTACTAGCTGATGAGCCGATGGTGGCTTTCCTGTTTATATCTATATCCAAAAGCGGACCAATGACACAGCTTCGGTTAGCAGGGCCACCCCCAGGTCTAACAATTGGAGTTTCGGTCGGCAACCCCTAGGCCCAAGGTCTTGCGGACCGCCCCCCCATTTGAACACCCCCCCTTCTGTGGAAGGATCTGGGTAAAGGAAGCCCCGCAAGACCTAATGATGTGCCCTTGCACGAATGGCCACATCTGCAATGCCTGCACATGGACATGCTTGCAATGCTGCATGCGGCGAGCCTATAACACTACATGTCTTGTTATTAGGAGGTCCTGACTTGAGAAGCATCGGGGATTCATTGAAAGGGCTGAACTTTACTGATTCCAGGATACGCTTTGTGGTTGGGTCCTCACGACCTGCGAGTGGTGAGACGTGCCTCAAAGCCTGCTCCTTTGTGCGATGCTCTTGCTGTTCTTGCGTTGGGACATCTGGCATGGCTGGTGCAACTGGTGTCTGCGCATTGTGATTGACAGCAAACACAATGTGACGACGTAGCGCGGGCATGTCTGCTGGAACATGCTGTGTGACACCTTTGTGCTTGGAGCACACTTCAACCTTATGCTCCTTTTGGGACCTTCCAAGCACCTCGACTAAGCGGGATGAGTTGGTGTAAAACCTAAATGAGGCATGAAGCGGTTTATCGTCATTACCCCACCAAGCAACATCACAACCGTGAACCTCAACTCCTTAACCACAGGGCGACGTTACGGGGCCAGACCAGGGTACACCCATGGCCCTTCTGCAACGCGTGACGTGCGTGAGAAGCAAAGGCTTGGACTTGCTGTTAAACCTTACAAGCTGAGCTAACCACCTCCCTTTAGCAGCGTCACCATCCCTGCACCTATACCCAATTAAGTTGGGCAGCGCTCCCCAAAGGAGGTGTGTGACACCAAGCTCAGAGTGGGACTTGCCAAAAGCTGAACTGGGAGAGCAGTCGTACTCAAACACTGCGGTAAACCCTTTTCCTTTTGCCTTCGCTCTGCGTGCCCTTCGGTTGGTTCCCTTCTGGAAAACCGGCCTTTGCTGAGGAGCTTGCTTTGCAGACACACCGGCGGGAACACCAAACACTGGAGGCTGATCACCTGTTGCTTCGGCGAGCTTTGTGCTGGTTGCTGTCGCTGAAGGAACAGCGGCACCGGCAACTGAAGAAACCTCAGCGTCCCCCCTGACCGGCGCTTCCGGCACAGGAGCAGGAGTGGGCGGAGCCACGCTTTCTGCAGCGGGTGTCCGTGGCACAGTTTCTGCGGGAGTTGGTGGTACTGGCCTGCCTGGTGTAGGAGGCAGGGAGCGACGCTCTTCCTTCTCCTTACGCTCTTTCTCAAGAAGTTCCGTGAAACGCTTGCGGCACTCTCGCGTGTGTACCGAAGCCTTTCCGTAGCAAGCTTTACACCCAGGGGTTTCCTTAAACTTAATGATACGCTCAACAGTGATATAGACGCTCCTATGCCTAAGGGGAGGCTTAGCGTCACTACGGCATCTCCTGAAGCGGGATGTCTGGGAGCTCGCCCTCTGCAGCCCCTTCAACCAGGGCGCGGTGATTAGCGTTGGCCACAGGAAAGACTGGAGGGCCTTCCTCGATAAAGAGTTCGTCTTGCGGAACGTCAACAACCAAGGCGTTGCGCTTGGAACGGAACGAGGACTTTGGTCACGAACCTATATCTCAAACCTGCATCTAGGCGCCACCCCAAAATTCAAACCAGGCTGAAGGTTCGGATCCAGAGCCCTTGTCGAGGGTCCCTTCTTGCGGTAATAGCTTAGCTGTCCAAAACACGCACGGATTCCCTCAAAAGGAGCCTTTGTAAGAACTTCCCACTGTGACTTTGCCTTGTCAGAGTGGCTCGCTCGGTCAAAGGAGAGCGAGAGGCATGCGTAAGGGTAGGAGTACGTGTGGAAGTCGCAGGGCAAACCCGACTGAAGGTGGATGCTCTTACAGCACGCTTTCTCCTCCCTGACGTCACGCTCAAGCACCAAGTTATGAGGCCACTTGTTCGGCAAGGAAGTCTCTGGGACGAGCCCGACCTCTGATGCTGCCCCTTCAAGCTCACCAGCTTCGTCCATCTTGACAAGACAAACCGGAGGCTTTGAGGCTGGGTGCAAACCGAAGAAGTGCCAGAAGTTCTTGGCGTGGTTCTGAAGCGTATTGGGTAAGCAACCCTAGCCCCTGAAAACACATCCCTTACAACGTGGTGTGACTTCAAGCCCCCTGTCCCTATGCCTCGGTGATCGTCACCTCGGGCCATGATAACATCATCTGTTGCGATTTGCTGCCACGACGCGGACATCCCAAACCGGGCCTAGGTACACACCCTTGGTCCACCTCGACAGAAGATCGTAGTGCCCACCCTGGCCGTAGCGCTTCTGCTTGATGGCGACACGTGTTCCAAAGGGACACGGCGGGTGGTAGGTCTCGGGCCGTAGTCGTTGCTCTCGTTGATGCCGTGCAGCGATGATCATTGCCGGGGCCCAGTGCGCGGTACTCAACCCTGAAGTTCGTAGGAGCTTCCGCGCTTGCCCCTTCATATATCTCACTGCTCTCTCTGCAGTCCCGTTTGACTGAGGCGATTGGCCCTCAGTCCGAGTGAGCCAAATGCCATTGTTGAGAGCCCACTCCTGTAAAGCAGGTGAGCGAAGTTCATGAGCTCGATCACTGTGAATTCTTACCACTGCCAAGTTTAGTTGTCTCAAGTACAATAATTTCTTGGATCGCCTGCATGACCTGCTTGCCACTCTTGCCCTTCAGTGGTTTGGCGACGTATAGGTGGTCCATTGGTATTCCTGCATTGCCTTCGCCGGACTCATCTTCAAGCTCATCCTTCTTTTGCTGCTCCTCTGCCTCGGCGTCGTCATCCCACAACCAACTTCCAGAGTCCTTTGCGGTGATCTTCTTTGCCGACAACTCCTCTCCATCACCTGGCATAGAGGGCTCGTAGTCCGACAAGTGGTCTCCCTCTTGTACTTCCGGCGGTAGGGGATCAAGTTCAAGGCCAGCAAAGTCATAGGTTGCATCCGCCAGGTCTCCAGCCTCAAACTCCTTCGGGGGCTCCTGATCCGCAAACCTTGGCTTGGTGTAGGCCGTGTAGGCGGCGGCGAGGAAGAACTTATACCCCGAGCCGCAGGCATCTTGGACGTCACTCTCATTTCTACGCCAACACATACGCACTTTCTTGCTTTGTGCGCCTGTGGGGGCGTCCGGTTCCAAGTGCCATCACACATTGTTCGCAGTCCTTCCTGAAGGGTACGTGGTCTCGTTGAATATGGAGTTTCCATCCCTGTTCTTTCGTGAGCTTGCGCAACTCCATGGTTTCTCCGGGGTCACCTCGATCTCGGCCGTCTCCCACACCCTTGCTTCGAATGCCATCAACAATAGCTCTCCGAAGTCCTGGGCTCCACTGATCTTCTCGAAGACCCAGTCCTGCTCCTTCCTTTTGGAGCTGCGATCGTTGGTCCTTCGTGCCATCCAGGTAGCTCAGGTCCAGGTTCTGCAAGATGGTGGTAGGGGCCTTCATTGAGTGTCCAGGCTCTTCTTGCTTGACTTGCACTCTTGAAATGCCGATGTCCTTTACCACCTCTTCAAAGTCCCCGATCAGCTTATGCTTCCACACCGCCTCATAGTGGGATGGGGCCCCAAAAGCAAACAATGGTTCCATCCCCTCCATGGCTGTGTAGCTCACCAGATGCAGGAAGAGCTGCTTTGCCATCAACTCGATCTCGGTGTCGTGCTTGTAGCCATTGAAACCATCGGCTGTTGCTGGCTCGCCCTTGGCAACAGGTCCGGCACGGGGGATTGCCGATGACTGCTTTCACTTTCCCCATCATTGCTCCCCAGAGGAGGGCCTTGTAAGGTGTCCCCCTTCATGTTCCATCCGTTGTCCAAGCCCGCGTCCACGTTGATCACAACCGCTTCACCCGGTAGCTGCGAGGAACTTGCTCCCACCAGCGTTTGCAGCGGATCCTGCTTCTTGTTCTTGCCCGTACAGACCCATGCGTCCGACTTGAAAACCCGCTTCCTCATTCTCCTTGGCATCGGGAGCTTCTTCAGATACTCCCATCCCTGTTTCCCATCCAGCATCATCTCAGGGAAAAGGCATGGTCGGGAAGCCCTTCGAAGATGGTCGACTTGTAAAGAGCCTGCAACACATCCACCGCCTTGCCTTCCTCCGCGTATCGAGCCAACAAGACTCGCCAGTCCGAGTTCCTCACTTCAATCATCCGCACCGCATTCAGCTCCGTTCTGAGGTCTTCGGTTCGCGCTCTCAGCTCCTCGACCTTCTTCATCTCCAGCTCTGCTATGATCGCCGCCGCCTGGCCCGCATCCGTCATCTCAGGACACCCGGCCTTAAGCCTCGTTTTGATCCTGCCGAGCTTGGGGTGGTGAAGGTAGAATCCATTCCGTGTCCAACGAACGGTGCAGTTGAGGACCTCAGTGAGCTTTCCAAGGCACTATCGTTTGGGCCTCATGCTGCGCCTTGGTGTCCACGATGATGCTTCCAGTGGGGGTCTGGTGTAACACCCTTTGCTCATCTCCAGCCACGGAAACTTCCTGGCACGTTTCTCTTTCTTGTTCACTTCGAGCAGGTCTGAGTACGTGCGTTGATCCCGAATCCAACAGAACACCCGGGTCTTCGCCATCCCTCGCTTCCGCCTTGGCCACTCTCATTGCCTTCAACCTCAACTCATCCACCTGTCGCTGAATGGACTCGTAAGTGGGTACCGCCGTTGACGACGAAGACGATGTTGAGCTCGCCTGCTGAGTTGCCAACATCGACCTTATAGCATCTTCGAGGCGTCCTCCATCATTCTTTTGAGATCATCGGCTTCGCCCTCGAAGTAGGGTAGTAGGTGAAGGCTCCGCTGCCGGCTGGGAGCTTGGTGGTGATGGTGGTGGTTCTTGTGGTCATGCCATTGATCTTGCCGCAGTCGCCGAACCCGAAGTAGTGGAAGCGACTGCTCAGCTTTAGGTCTCGCGCCCTGCGAAGACCCTTTGTCCTTCACTGGGCAGTCCTTCTTCACATGGGCCGTACTCGAACACACCAAGCACCTGCCGTCCTTTTGGGGGATGAGCCCCAACAATCCACTCTTCGTCAACACCCTGCTTCCGACTTCGCGAACCATTTGCACTGCTTCCGGGCTGCCGGAGGTTCATGCTGTTCAGCTTGGGTCCCTTCTCTCCTCCTCCCGCCCTGGCCTGCTCGGTTCCAGAGGTTGTCGTGGTAGCCGCAGTGGATCTCCCCTTACCCTTGGTCCCCGCATGGAAGGCGTCCTTGGCTGCAGCATCGCCTTCTCCAGCAGGTTGCTCTTGTGCTGAACGACCATTGCGCACGACTGTAGTACTCGGTTTTAGACTCATTGCGCATCACGACTGCTACGATTTGCCCGATCACCCGGTGGTAGATCTTGACGGTCTTGACGGCCACTGCAAGCCCGATCACCTTGCGATAATCGGGTAACCCGAAGCCTTCACATCCAAGACAATCTTTTGGACCGCCGGAAGCACGGCGGCGGCCTTCTTGTTGTTGACAGGAACCGCCAAGTAGAGCGTCGAGGTTTCAATAGGTTCTTGGAACATAGCCATCAGCTCCTTGCAACGTTCTTTTTCCTGTTCCACCTCCGACTCTGGCAAATGGCCTCATCAATCTCCGCCTCGGTGCCAGTGGCACTGCCGCGAACGCACACAGAGCAGTCTCGACGAATCGGCTGCTGACCTCTCATCCCATGAAGACGCCAGGCACCTCGTGTATCTCTCACCTGTGAATCGTGAGAGTGACACATCCATGATCCCCATCCTTCACATACTCCCGCGCATCCGAACATCCCGCCAAGTCGCCAAATCTCATCATCACCTTCATCCGATCCACGACAAACCCTATCCCAGTCCTCGATCAAGAGCCTTACAGCCCCCTGTCCACGCACAGTTTGGCCCGCGGTAAATAAAGCATGAAGAAAGTGAACTTTGCCTCGGTGTGAACCACCCACGCTCTGATCCAGATGGGAGCCTTGACAATCACGTGCGATCACTGTAGTGATCCTTCCCGATGCCGCTCCCCAGGACAACACCTGCCGAACATCCTGGAACTCATTATCCACCAGTAGGGCGTTCACCTTGATGTAGATCGACTCCTGAGCACCACCAAGACGCTTCAGCTCATCCCGCGGCCGATCAACAGACGGCGGGTACCAACCCACGAAGGTGAACGGAGGAGGCGCTTCCGTTAGCGCCTATTCACATTGATGCCCCTCAAGAGTTCCCAGATTCCTTTGTTCGGACGCCAAAAAATCAGAGCATCTTTCACCTCATCACGGTACATAAGAAACGGAGCCTCGTCAACCGCTACCCTACCTGACTCGAGGGTTCCTGCACAAACTCCAGGGCCATCACCGGTGGTACAGCAAGGCCAGGTGGGGGGCAAAGAGGATCTACATCAGACCCCGTTGAACCACACGAGCTTCTTGAAGTTCCAGCTGCTGTCGAAGCTGTCTGGCCTCGGATACCTGAGTCCACTCTGGAGAAATCCCCGCCGCTGAACCACTGCTTGACGGAGGTCGAGGATCTTGATCAGGTAGCGATGGGCTCCCAGGTGGTGCCGACAAAAAGGGTGGCGGCGGTGAGATCGTAGCCGCCACATCACTAACTCTCCACTGCTCGAGAAGACGAAAGCGGAGGTTGTACCGCCTGCGTGTCGTCGCGCGCCGATCCGGTTATCTCCAGCACTGACGTCCGAGGTCCGGTCCGCTCCAACGGGAGCGTCGGCGGTGATGCCGCTGTTCCATCCACAGGAAGCTGACGCGGCTGGTGATCGGTCACCGCCGCTGAGTTGCTCGTACCATTTCCAACTGCTGGGCTCACTCCACCAGGACTATAAAAGTTCACTGACGAAACCCCGTTTGGCAGCGGACTCTCTCTCTGCTGTGCACCCACACCATGATCTTCTCGGAGTGGCTCAGGGGGAAGCTGCTCGTAGTTCGGGCCACGAGTCTCACGCTCCACCACGGGCGTTGGGCTCATACCCAGCCGGTGTGCAGGTGAAGCAGAGGTTACAGGTACTGCAGCACTTGCGGCCATGGCACTCACATGCGATTTTTTGGCTACCACTTAATTGTCGGACTCGCATGGATTGCGCATTGCAGGTGATGCGTCGGATACGGATTGGGTTAGCCTCGTCACGCCCTCAACCAATACCAACCTTCAATTAGCATAAAGATGCAGATGACAAGGACAGATGAGGCTCCAGGTTTTCTGGGCCTGCTTCAGCTACACCGCCCAGAATGTGCAAGGGCACAGGACATGACAGCTGCCAAAGGACTTCAAGGATCAGTGTTCAAACAGCGAACCAGTGCAGGCACTATCAAGGACACACACAGCTCCAGTGCTACACTCTATGCACAGGTTTCCGAGCCACGAGCGTACGCGTGCTCTTCTTCTCGGCTCCTCGTTCTTTTAACACGGCCTCCGCAGCCCCTGTCAAAGTCTCTGGCAGAACCGGTGAATGCCATCACGTTACTGTCCAGCACTCTTCATCCCTTTCCGCGGTCTGCTTCACACCATGACTCAAGTCACAAGTCCCACAGACTCTCCTCTCCTGCAGGTCCGACCCTTTCTCAGTTGTGGAACCACCAGCTCAACCCTTTGGCACTTGCACAGTGAGGATGTCAAGGGCCAGCATCCATGTTGTCATGTACAATGTCCCTCGCAGCCAGCAGTGGGCACATAGAGTGGGTACCCAAGGCAGAAGCCTGCATACTCCATGGCAAGCTTACGGTATGCGGTGCCTGGCCACGTGACCAATGGTCTTGCAAGGTGGGAGGACGGGTAGTGGGCAGTACTGTTGCAGGGCTCGTCGAGCAGTCCCAGTGGAGAGGATCAACAGTCAGCATCTCAACTCTGCACATCCAGCATCTGTATTGTCCTGCAGCGCCCATGGCATCCACTGCATCATAGCATCAGTCGGAGCTTGCAGGGCGCGCTTATAGTGTCCACAGCGTCGTAGCATGCATATCAGAGCTTGCAGAGCGACTTGAGCAGAAAGGACGGTTATGTATGGAAACCCAATCCCTGCGGCCAGCAGTCCTGCGTGGTGTTATGTCATGCTTCCCATGGATCATGTGCCATGTAGATCGAAACATCCAGTTGATATTTCAGCTACTGTCAGTCTCACCCAAGCTTTCACGAGCCCCCTTTGCAGAGTAACCTGAGCAGAAAGGACTGCCACGTAGCGAAACCAGATCCCTTCGACCAGCAGTCGTGTGTGGTGTGGCTGCGTGCATCTCAGGTACCATGCGCCATGCAGGATGTATCACCAAGTGAACAGTCGTCGACTGTCAGTTTTGTCCACAATGCCAGTTGTGGAACGATTCCGAAGTGGCCATGGCAGCGCTGACGCAGGTTAGTGGTTGCTTATGGGAGGAAAGCGGGGTTATAAACCACAGAGGTAAGCACATTTGGCGCACACAAGGCAAACTTCTGCGAGGGTAAGTTTAAGTAAGTTTCCCCGTGTTGTGATCAATCGCACTCGGATGGCGGATGTCCGCGCTTAGCACTAGATCCTATGCCAATGTGCGCACTGATCTGAGCCAGCAAGGGCTTGACGTGCAACGGACGGCCATCTGACAGCTTTCAGCAATAGAGCCCCCAGTGTCCTGCGCTTCGGCCGGGGGGAGCCGCCTAGGCTAGGCAGTCTGAACGGCGGAACCGTCGGCTGCTGCTGGCCATGAAAGGGTCCAGCAGAGGGAACGACATTGCTGCAAACGAATGAGCTATCCTGTTCCCACGCCGATCTTTTGGATATGGGCCGATCGGCTTAGTGCCAAAATGGCCACAGATAAAACAGGATCATTAGGAGACATATATGTATATATAAATGAATGCATATGCATTCACACACACACATATCATGCACTGGCCACGCAACAGTGCCCCAAACAACCAAAGGCTTGACCGTCGCTTGCTGGCCAGCTGCTGAAGTGGTGCACGATAAACTCGTAGAAGTGCTGGCCATAGTGCATGGGCTGACAAGACACCGCTGTACAGTGGTCGGCGAACTCGTCGGAAAGGAATGTGATTTCAGCACCTCTTTCCATTGCACGAAGTGGCACAGTGTCTGATCAGAAATCAGCGACCATAACATCCCAGAGCTTGCCACGCGCAAGAACCTGGTGTCTGGATTGTTGCTGTTCCAAATTCCACGACACCGCTCCACCTGTGAGCCCGGGCAAAGCGGGACAGGTCAGTGAACATCGCACTCGGATTGGTCGAGTCGCTTCTGATCCGGATTCGTCGCTGTCTAAGCCAAGCGCAACTCTTTTCTTGTGCCTCATGAGTCATGAGGCAATTCGATGAGGCGCCGCCTTGCTGCTTTGCTTAGCGACGACGCTGTCTCTCTCGCGGCCTGATCTTTGCTTCCAGCTTCCTCTGCTTTGCAGCTGCTCGACGCTGCTTAAAGACCTGCAGCGCGCTTCGCTGTCACTTGAAGGTTTCGAAATTTCTGTGAAGGCCTCTTGCTGGTGGCGCTGCTCCTGCTCCTGCTGCTCTAGCACTCGCGGCGTTTGTTGCAGCGTTTGCTGCTGCTTGAACTCTTCTGCCTCTGCCCTCTTGTCGGCTGCAGCTTCGATTGCTAGCTTCTGTCGTGCTTCCTGCAATGACTCAATCACGTGGCGAAGCTGAGAGTATGTAGCCGTCTGCCTATTTTAGGGGTCCTCCTCCTGTTGCTTTTCGCGTGGCCTTTCGATCTCCTGAGCCAGGTCTGGCAAGGTCTGGGACCATCGGTGGCGCTTGTGCAGCAAATTGCTACGCAAAGACATGCATGGCACCCCACCCTGCGCTGCTTCTCCGCTCGTCGCTGTTGTTCCTGTAGGTCGAAAGCCGAAAGCGTTCATCCAGCTCTTTGTACATAGTTAGGTTTGGGAAGCCAACGACATCCCAGCAACACTTTGCGGCATGAAAGACGGGCTTCGAAATCTGCAAGGACATCAATGCCAAGTAGTGAGAAAAGCCATTCGCCGTTGCACACCAGGGGCCTCGCGTTCCCGGTCTTCCTCTGCGTCTCGCTTCTGACGCCGCTCTTCACGGAGTTCCTGCGAAAACGCAATGCAAGGGGCGAAGTAGAGGAAGAGTGACAGAGCCCGAAAGTTTGGTTACGAGCGGTTCTGATGAGAGTTGTCCTGGTCAAGCAAGATGATCCGCCACCTCGACTCCTCGCCACCGACCTGTCGGCATCGCTCCATGCTGCATCAAACATGCACGGTGATGGGAGTCTCCATCCAATCTAGGGGCGACTTGCTTTCATCTTCACAAGTAATTTCTAAAGCCATTCCGCGCAGTATCGCGCAGTTGTCCATAACTTGCTTCAGATCGCCTTTCGCGCGGACTGCTTTATGTCTGGGCGTCAACGAGCTCTGGTTGGAGGACGAGACTTTTGGCAGGACAATCCAGGGTCTGAGGATATTGGATTCAACCACAGCCGCTCAAGGACTCAAGCCACCTCAGCAGGGACGAGTCGTGCGCATGCTGGAGTTGCAACATGCACCTTCGTCGGGAAAGCTGGCAGACAGCCGGCAATGATGGCAACGGTCCACCTTATCGCTGTGAGCTGCTTGATGTTTAGTTTAGAAGCTAGGGCGACTGCACCACTCAGCACGATCAACCAACAAGAGTTGGAACCCGAAGCCAAAGGAAGGCACCCAAAGAAAGCCACGACAGCCTTGCTTGCCCACCGGACTCGATCAGGCGTCAAAGGCTCGCTGCGAAGTATCTGGTTGACAGAACTGTACTGCAGCTGGGATAGCACCCGGTTCAGATTCACAAAGCGAGCCTGCCTGCCTTCGGCAGATGTAGTGAATCAGGCGAGGCTGCTCCAAGATGGCCTCCATGTCAATGTTGCGGGCGCGCTTCAGGAAGTCCACACACACGACGGTGCGAAGAACATCGCCCCAGTCAATAACCAATAACAGATGGAAGCATCAAAGACAGCAGCAAGTCGACGACCTCCATGACCCTCGCCAAGCGGCTGACACTGCGCCATCACGAATCACGAGTGAGGGGTTCTAAACATCCCCACCCTCGCCTCACCACCTCACGAGGTGGATGTTTCAGCTGTTTGACCTGTCAATCACGAGTCGTTCTTGAGTAATTATATTGGCATCCCCTGCCCTGTCACGTGAGCTGAGGCCCACTGCCTCCTCGATTTCTTTGTTGGTGATGTCCCGCAAAGGATGCTCGGCCTCCTGCCACTGCGTTCGTCACAACTGCAAAGTCGACGAGAGCGGGAACCTCACCACCGGCACGGCGAACTGCGGTGAAGACCTGGTCGGCGAGGGCGGGGGCCGCGGCGTAAGCCCCGGCCCTGTCAGCCCGACCGTGCATGGCTGGCCAGCTTAACACCGGCTACCGCTTTCATTCGTGGTCTCTGCTTCCCGACCCACGTAAAATCGTCCAGTATGCAACAAACGATCCAACACTTAGGCAATGCTTGAGCGGGACTATAAGGCCCGTAGGCAGCCTTCGGGTGCGTGAGTATGCTGTAAATCGTGCATTTCTTGAAACTCTAGCTAGCCTGTGGGGATTTGGGAACCTTCCAAGTTTTCCGCAACTTTTGAATGTTGTTTTTCTTATAAACTCTGGCCTCTTGGGATTCAGGAACCTCACGCAAATCGAAAGCCTTTTGAGTTGTTGACATTTTGAGTTGTCTGGAATCTGGCCTCTGGGACATTGGGAACCCTGTATTTTTTTAACAGAATTTAACATTTCTGAAACTTGTTCTCAAATGTTTCAAGTTTGAGTGTGGTTGGAACTCTGGCCCCTGAATTTCAGGAAATTTGGCTTTCGGAGATTCGGATTGATGCTTTTGAATTGGTTGTAAAAGATGGCCCCTGGGGATTTCCTAGCCTTTTGCTTTGACGTTTTGGAAAGTTTAAATTATTTGGGAATCTGGGTTTGCAAACACCTCGAATTTTTACAAATGTTGAAGATCTGGCCTTTGGGAAAAGAGCAGCGGGCAAAGAACACGAAGGCAGAAAGAGCGAACCAGTCTGGACGGAAGCCCCGAGTTGTATCAACAGAGAAAGAAAAACTCAAAAGAAGGACGCAAGCTAAATATTGGATTGGTCAAACAGAGGCAACTCGTGGGTCAGTCAGTGTCCCTGATCCTTTGCAAAACAGATACAGTGTGAATGGTCATGCGTGTGCATATATATATATATATATAGAAGTGCGAATATAGATGGTGATCATGTCTGTATACATGTTGTTGAGGATGTTGAAAAAAACAAACTTCAGGAACGGCGAGAGGGAGATGTGCATAAATGCATCTTGTCACACCTCTCGAAACTGAAGAGGACGGAAGAGAAAGGAAGAGACGGAAAGGAGGCGAAAGGAACTGGAGAGAACTACCTGCTTCTGCCTTTGCTTCTGACAATGCTTTTTGAGCTGAAGAATCAAATAATCATACATCGCAGAACGGGCCATGGCAGAAAGGCCCAATGTAGGCTTCACACAGCAGCGGCTGGGCGAGAATCTGGGCATCGTAGACTGTGAAAGGCGACGCGTCGCCGAGGCGACAAGCCCCTCTCGGTCATCCTCTTAGGCTCTTACGCTCCCATTTTTGTCTCGCGCCGTGGGAATCGGACAAACCAGCGCGCCTTGCACCGAGAAAATGCGCTCCTTCTTCTTCCGACCCCGCCCGTAAGCACGGCTAGTGATGTGCAGAAGTGCACCACAGGCACAGGTCATACCCCTGAAGGATTTGTTCTGGCGATAGTCCCAAAGAGTCTGTTCCTCGCCCCAGGCATGGCCAATGCCCTCGCCGAGACTCTCAGTGCCAGTTGGAAGGGAGGAGGCGGAGGAGGCCATGGAGGCCAACGGCGGCTGCGGCTGCGGCGGCTGCTGCTCTGTCTCGGAGCGGCTCAGGCTCAAGTTCAAGGCATCTTCGATGCGACGGCGACGGTCTTCCTCCATTTCTGGATCGTTGTCGAAGTAGAAGATCTCGGCCTCCCCGTGTCGCGCACGGCCGGCTCCCTGAACGTGGCTCTTGGCACTGCTGAAGAAGTCGTAACGTACCACATAGCGACAGTCTGGCACATCCAAACCTTCCTCCAGGGATGCAGTGGCCACCAAGACTCGGCAGGTGGTGCGGAACCGCTGCAGATTCCACAAACGAAGACCTTCCTCCATGCCCTGAACACCACACACCTCGAAACAGAGGAAACAAAGCTTATTATAAGCATTGAACTCTCACTTACAAGGCAAGACGACACCGGCCGGGGTGCATGGGCGATCTCGACCCCGGTAGATGCTTCCAGAAGCCGTGCCATGGGTCCAGCCACCGACACACGCTCAACAAAGACTAAGATTTTGTCCGTTGAACCCGACAGGAGACGCCTCAGAAGCTTGCACAGTGCCTCAAACTTCCTGCTCGCTTCATCACTCACTGTGCTCACCCTGCTGGACAGAACTTCCCGGCAATGAGGCAGCAGTGCGAGGGCCCTCTGCAAGCACTCCACGGCGTCTCCATCTGCAAAAGCCAACTTGCTGGAGAGCTTCGCCTTCGTTGAAAGAGAATGGGAGATGCTGCAATGAAGCGCGAGATCCTGCCTGGACCACTTCGAGAAGGCTTTCCTGCACCTCGGAAAAGCAGAAATCTCGTGGCGAAAGGATGTGAAACTTCGGCTCAGCCTTTCTTGTGTCGAAGGGCGAAGGGCTGGTAGGCTGCAGGCCCCAGGCTCTCCAAAACTCCACGGAGGCGGCCCTTCTCTCTTTCGAGGGAGTTCTGAAGCTCCCAGTTGAACTGCGTCAGCTCTTTCAAGTTCTCGACAAGGATATCCAAGTGGCTCGCATACCTAGCGTAGGCCGCCAGTGTCCCGTCCCGATCTTGTGCTGACTCAAACCTGGCAGTGGGGAGATGCCGCACTGCCGCCGCACTGCTGCACTTGCCGTCTCTATATGTCCGCGTGACCAGGGCACTTTCGTGAAGCGCCGCTCGCTGTGCGACAAGGTCGGGTGAACCTCGGATCCAACGCAACGGCGGCAAGCCTTGGCAAGCTGTTGCCATCCGACAACTCGTGCCCACACACCTCTCCCCTCTGCTCTGAGCCGGTAGCCCGGCCTGGGGCGAGAAAGCCTTGGCCCTGAAGCGGTCCTCCAGCACCTCCGGCAATGCAGGCCAGACTCTGCGCTCTGCGCTGCCCTTCACCATGGAGGCCCGACGCCTCCAGCCGGCGTTCCGGATCCTAGCGCCGGCGCTTCTCACGAACCGAACTCGCTCGGGAGCTGGCTCTTGGGCACTGACCGAGTTTCCATGCATGAAGCTGGCCGTGAGTCCCAAGATCCGTGCAGGACAGCAGCCATCTCTCAGCAGTCTGAGGACTTCGGCGTAGGGATGGCGACCTGCTCTGAGGCTCAGGAGTCTGTGATGGGTCGCCAGTCCCGCCAGGCCTACCGCGTGGTGCGCCTCAAACTTGACAATATCAGCAACATGTCCAACAGCAATGCTCAAAACCAAGTCTACTATGCAGGCCCCTGACCTCATCAAAGATTACGCAGCGAAGCCGTTCGGCAATAAGCTGACCTGTCTCGAGAGCCATCCGAATCACCTCGCCGGTTGCGACAAAGACCTGCCACCGCAGCACCGTCACCGCTCAGCAGCTCAGCACGTCGCTTGTCGTGCGACTCGTGCCTCGGCTTGAGGAGTGCTGGCCACGGAGAAGTTTTGCAAGTGTCGGCGGAGATACTCCGACTGCTGAACGACGAGCGCACGTGAGTTGACCACAAAGATGCTCGGAACACCCAGCGCGTCCAGTAGCATGCACCTAAGCCTTTGCAAGTCGCGAACTGTTGCACCTTGACTTTTAGTTTATCCTCGCGGCGCAACCAGAGTCTTCCCAGTGCCAGTCGGCATGTTCAGGATCGAGTTCTGGCTGAGGGCTTTTCTGAAAGCTTCCAGCTGATGAGGCCAGGCCCCGTATCCTGAAGCTGTCTGTACACCATTTGCATGTCTCTTTCACACGTCGGACACGTCGCCTCTAAACAAACACTCAGAGCTCAACGATGCGCCCATGCATCCCAGTCTTGCGAAGCACTGTCCATAGCTAGAGCCACTCTTGCGCCTCCTGTGTGTGTGTGTGTGTGTGTGTGTGCGTCTGCGCAAAGACTTGTTTACGAGTACTTGGCCATCAATAGGACTGGAGGCTTTCCCAACCACTCGATGCTAAAAGCACTGCTTCTCAAACGTAGTTGTAGCAAACTTTGTACATGTTCTTCCGTGGCGGCTGGAACGTCTTTTGTGTTCGCTCAATACACTGTACTATCGTGGCTTCCATTCGTCTCATCATGCATGACCCAACGATGCACCTCTTAGGCTCTTGAAATGCGACACGTCGAGATCGTATATCACAGCAACTGCAACTACACGGCCTGGCGCAGTTCCGAGACTGCCAACATGAAAGCAGCGTGGCACATGCGCGATGCGCGATGATGCGCGCGATTTGGAGTCACGAGCGGCGAGCCATGCGGCCCTCGGCGGGCGGCTCGGAGCCAGACCTGCCAAGGCGCCCCGAAACTCGGCCCGGCGGCCCGGCGTGGAGCGGAAAGAACTGAGCACTGGGCGCAGGCGCTAGAGCAGAGGTTTTCTGGGTGACAACGCCGGCTTCGATCAAGTAGGGGATCTCAGCCGCCAACCATGGCCCCAAAGCCTCAAATAGGTAGAGACAATGGGAGACCGAAACCGCAAAGAAAAGGAAAGTCTCGCCGAGGCTTCAGGCAAGAGAAAGGGCATGTGCTATGCCGAACTTCGGCACATTTGTCCTTTGAAACCATCACAAGAAAAAGGCGTGTACATGTGTCACACATGCGGCCTCCAAAGCGGAGCAAAGTGAATGTCTAAACAAATCTTCCCACCACGGTACCTTGACACAAGGGATGAAGAGTCTAGCGGAGTATCCTTCAGCATGGAGGCACATCTTCGGTGTCTTTCCGTCCAGTTCTGGCAGTTCCTAGGACGGAATGTGTCTGCAACGCCAATCTGGGTGGTGCATCATCTGGGCTGCGGCCAATTCGATCGGAACAGCCGGATAGCCGGCGGGGATCTTCAGGCGGCGCAACCGGTCACGTGCATGTAGCAAAGCTGTCTAAGATGCCTCAAACTGAAGCTTGAACTCGTACTTCAAGAAGTTGTGTATATACCTGGGCGGGGTGGCAGCGTACGCTCACGCCAACCTCTTGGATCGGGGGTGTGGCCAGCAGGTGCCGGTCCATTTCGTTCCATCCTATACAAGCCATGTGCACCTCCTGCTCTCCGTGGGTAAAGGAGGCATGTATTCAGGCCCGCCTCATTGGAAAGGATTTGGAACCAGTCGCTATCATTCTCCTTGCGGCCGGCGGTTCTGCTGTCAGTTTCTGGACTTGCTGAGTTGGTCGGGCCTTGTTGTTCTGCACATATCTAATCAAGGCTGTGAGCTCTTCTTTCAAGCGCTCAGCCTTAGCATAATGTGACACTTTACAGAAGTCAACATGACGAGAATCAGGCTGGCCGGCGGTCGAAGGTCCTGCCATGGGATCCTGACCCACTCTTCGTCACGGGGTCCAGCTTTGACACTTAGCAGCGGGATCTTCTGAACTGCTGCCTCAGACACGCTGCAACCGTTTCAGTCTCTCGAATTCGTCTTGGGGCCCGGACTTTGGTTTTCTCGTCATAAAGCATCACCTTGTACCACTCCTCATCACAGCGTCCGCGACTAATTCAGGTCGCAGGGCTCCACACCGAGGGCCCTGCGGCCTGTGCAGCCTTTCCCAGCTCTCTAGCTCTAGCTGGCTCTATCTTGCAAGCCTGGAGCCTTCGACATGAGATGCCGGGCTGACTGCACTCTTTGCAGGTCGGCCGAGCTATTCCGAGACTTCCCCCTTGTCGGCCCAAGGCAACAAACGCATCTGCTTTACAAGGGTGAAATTGGCATGTCCTCACGAATTCCCGACTCCTGTCTGAGCACAAAGTGGCCGAACGAGCATCAGCTCTACAACAAGCCGTGCTAGGCAACGATGCCGAGATGTGCCAAAAGCGTTAATTAATTCCAAACAATTTGGAAAATTGTGTGAGATTGCCAGATCCAAAGCATGGCCGTTTGCGTTAGGCAAACAGCACTCTTCTCGTCTGTACAGTTGCTTTCTGATTCTTGTCCTTGGCTTCTCCTGTCCGTGTCTTCCATCTCAGGCACCAGCGCCCCGCACAACTTTGTGCAAAGGGAGCTGCCCCGGCAAGACTGGCCAGTGGCCTTCCATGCTTTCCCCACCCACAAAAACCACCCTGCAGAGGCAGAGAGCAGTCGTAAGTCGCGAGGATAGAAGTGGAGGCCGTGTTTCATTGAGATGCCGGATCAGAAGAACCTGCCCATCAACAATCAAACGCCTGACTGCGCGGCTGATGGAGCAGGGGTAGCCGCCAGTGCCGCAAAAGCCCGGAGAGCAGCACCTGCGAGAAGCATCGCCGAATCGTTCGGGACTCGGGATGCGTCACGCGGCATCACGTGTAGCCGTGTAGCCTTGCGCAGAGCTCCGACTAACCCGAGGGCCTGTGCGCAGCTCCGTCTCGGCACTGTTGCGAGTATTCTAACAGCGGGCCTGGTGACGGTGCTAGGATCACGCCGGTGGGATGGCGGACCTGGCAGACACAAATGACATGGCAGAAGCTCTGCAAGGATAGGAATAGGATGTTCATGCCATGCCCAGTAAGAGCAGGGCAGGGACAGGGAGTGAAAATTGCGTTCCCCTTAAGTCCAAAGGAATGCCAAGCATTGCTGCGTTGCGGCCTCAGACTCGATGAACAAAAGGGAGGCGTGTTGGGAGCTGGCCCGAGGCTTCCTAAGAAACCGAGGCCCGCTCGAATCCTCTTGCCAGGCGACCTCGGAAGGAACGACATCGAGGCGCTTCCGCTTCTTTTGCATGGAAAACTCCAAGGCCACCTCAAGTAAGAACATACTCATAGAACTCTCTTGACGTCCAGTGTACGGTGTAACGGAAGCCTGGGTTCTTGCGAGAGGGGAAGCTCCAGCACTGGTGCCAGTTTGGTTCCAGCTGCTTCTAGCCCGGAGGGACGCTCGGATGCCCTGTGCTGCATCCCTTGTGATCTTGACAACAGCTGACAGGCCAAACTGCCTCATGAGGGAAGTGTGCAAACCTGCTCCTGCTAAGCCAATGTCCAGTCCAGCCGTGGCTCAGTTGTGTTTCGACTGGCCGTGACCCTGGAAATCGCGGGTACAAACTCCTCCGGCCATCTGCTGCGGTTTGTGGGCCGCAGTACCTTTTCCGCCGAGCCCCAGTCTCCCGGTCACAGGCCACAGGCAGCCCCAAGAGCAGAAAGGCTCCGGAAACTCAGAATCGAAAACGGAATTTCCTCGCGACCGGCACCTGGTTCAATCCTGGCGGGCGTCATCTGCTGCAGGCCGTCGGCCCGCACCGGGCGGAGGGTTGAGTTACCTCTGAGCGCTGACATGTAGGAATTCCGGATGGGCAACACAAGAAACTCCTTCCACTCACAGCCGAATAAGACATCATCCGGAGCCTGGGGAAGAAACACCTGATCACCATCGGTTGGGTTCTGGCCAGGGACTCTGAGCAAACAAAGGGTGGGTGCGTGAGGGTCAAACCAAAGGTCCACTTTGTGGTCCCCGGGCCTGGGCTGAGCAATGCCCAAAACAAACAAAACCAGAAACGCCACATGCTCAAAACAAAGACCAAAGTGTTCTCTATGAAGGTTTCATAAAAGCACATGAGACTGCAAAGAGAGAGAAACGCGCACACACTCTTTTTACGGCGGAGGTTGCAATGTCCGTGCCAAGCGTGGCGAGTAGTCAGGTCTGTGCTGTGCGAGGCACGATGTATAGCCTTGCAGCGGGTGTGGTGGGTGGGTGAAAAAATTTCTATATGCTTGTGGGGTCGCGGCCCATCTGCCGTGTTCCTATGATCTTCTGTGAGGATAGGGAGGCTTCTCAGAAGGGTACTTCTCAGTGTGTTTAACCCCATTCAACAATATTCAGAAATGTTTGAATTTCTGCTTAAATATTCGGAAATATTACGTTTTCTTCGGTAAACTTCCATAATATTCTTCATTCTTCCAGGTTCTTCACCATTATTCTTAGATCTTCGTAAATCTTCGAAATTATTCGAAACTATTCGAAATTATTCGAAAATATTCCAAATTATTCCAAATTATTCGTTGTATCTGCGGAGAACTTCAAACACTTTTCTAGACCATTCTTCTCAGATCTTCGTAAATCTTCGAAATTCTTCGAAATTCTTCCAAATTCTTCGTTGTATCTGCGGAGAACTTCAAACACTTTTCTAGACCATTCCTCTTAGATCTTCGTAAATCTTCGAAATTCTTCGAAATTCTTCGTTGTATCTGCGGAGAATTCAAACACTTTTCTAGACTTCTGCTTGTTTCCCCCAGCTGAAACCGCCAGCTCGCACCCTGTTCGGAAATACATATCCTATAGGAAATTACAATTCGCACCGTTGTTTTTCTTGGATTCCAAGCACAAATCCTATGGGAAATTACAATTCGCACCCTGTTCGGAAATACATATCCTATGGGAAATTACAATTCGCACCCTTGTTTTTCTTGGATTCCAAGCACAAATCCTATGGGAAATTACAATTCGCACCCTGTTCGGAAATACATATCCTATGGGAAATTACAATTCGCACCCTTGTTTTTCTTGGATTCCAAGCACAAATCCTATGGGAAATTACAATTCGCACCCTGTTCGGAAATACATTAAGTAGACTCTGTTTCTTGGCATCCAGGTACAGCATCCTATGGGAAATTACAATTCGCACCCTTGTTTTTCTTGGATTCCAAGCACAAATCCTATGGGAAATTACAATTCGCACCCTGTTCGGAAATACATTAAGTAGACTCTGTTTCTTGGCATCCAGGTACAGCATCCTATGGGAAATTACAATTCGCACCCATGTTTTTCTTGGATTCCAAGCACAAATCCTATGGGAAATTACAATTCGCACCCTGTTCGGAAATACATATCCTATGGGAAATTACAAGCGCACCCTTGTTTTCTTGGATTCCAAGCACAAATCCTATGGGAAATTACAATTCGCACCCTGTTCGGAAATACATATCCTGTGGGAAATTACAATTCGCACCCGTGTTTTTCTTGGATTCCAAGCACAAATCCTATGGGAAATTACAATTCGCACCCTGTTCGGAAATACATATCCTATGGGAAATTACAATTCGCACCCTTGTTTTCTTGGATTCCAAGCACAAATCCTATGGGAAATTACAATTCGCACCCTGTTCGGAAATACATATCCTATGGGAAATTACAATTCGCA